TAGGTATTATAAAAAGATGAAATAATCCAAAGGAGGGAATTCTTCAAATGATAATTGTAAATTATTTTCAATTAACTATATCTAATAAAGTATTTAATTGATTATTAAAATAATATTCATAGTAAATGTATATATAATTTTAATTTCTTTTAAATCATGATAAAATTGATGTTTAATTCAAATAAATTAAATAAAGTTGTTTGTGTCCATTGATTAATTAAACATTGAATATAGTTTTCCGATTTGAATAAATTTCAAAAAAGAAGATTCCATGATCTATCTTTCTTTTTATTTTCTATAATAGATATTAAATGTTTCTTTGTAATCCTTAATAATTTTATAATAACATTCCTTGATTAAAAAATTTCCAATTTTTTTTAATGCATCATTTGATGTCAAAGATGAACAAAAAACTAAACAAATCAAATAATATTGATAAATAATAAGATATTAACATTTTTGTATATTTCGTTTGTTTTAATTGAAGTAATATATTAATTAAATTTGTATAATTTGTTATCATTCGTTGTTGTAAATCAATAAAACAATGTTGAATTATTCATATTCGATAATAATCTTTAAAATGGATATAGATGATGGATTTTTAAAATTTGTTTTGTTAAATGGATACTATTTTCAAATAAATCTATAAGCAACATATCCATACATGTAAGAAGTCATATGTATTTATTCGAATAACTCTCTTCGATATGTAATAATAAATGTGACAACAAAATCAATTGCTTTGTTGATATTAAATAAGAGTGAACAATACATTCATAAAAAATATCTATTAGAATTTTATCATTCGCAATAGATATAATTCATTCATGTTGTCAATATTATTCAAATAGTATCTTTGAGTCATTTCAATATTCGTTTACATGATTCTAATTTGTAGTTGCTATTGACGAAATTTGATAAATAATTTTGATCTGGATCGTTTTATTCTTTGGCTTCCAAAAAAAAATAAAATAAACATTTAAATGTGGACAAAATTCGTTTTTTGTATTTGTATGATAATTTCTTACTTAGTCTGCCGACACATGCGAATGAATCATTGAATGAATGTTGAATTCTATGCCCACTAATGCACTTTGTGATGAGACTGGTTTTTATAAACTGAAATTTTCCACAAAAATAGTACATCATAAATGAGTTTTTTCTGTGAAATAAAATCTTATTAACATACAAAAATCAACGAGTACAAGCAATGACCTCTATAGACGCTTAGTCTGATTGGATAATGGACGGTGGGAATCAGTGTTTCCAACAGCAGGTGTACACAGCATAAGCAAAATGTACAGAAAATCTGCTATTTTTGATTTACATCCTGATTTACACTGCTCAAAAATACAAAATGTACGCTGTACACTCTGCTACAAAAATTTATATTTTGATTCTACAACGTTAAAAGTTATATGTAATATTAACATCAAAGAGAGACTTTCTTTGCAAAATAGTCGATTATTACCTCCCAATCTTGAGTAAAACTAACAATGACCAGTATAATTTCTTTTATTTTGTCTTCTCGCCATTTCTCTAGATAAATAATTAGTTCTAATTCTAAAACGACTCTCTGTTTGTTATATTCCTATCGATGCTAATAACAATTTTTTTCAAACATTTCAGATTTATCGTTCATACGTAAAAATGTTAAAAGGATAGAATCTTTATAGTTTCGATCTGACTTTAATTATCCATATGAAGGCGAAGGTGATAATCAGGACAACAAATGTTTTAGTGATATTGTGTTTAAAAAAAATTCTAAATAAAAATTGCTATATTTGTGGTATAAACTCATAGTTTTTTTCTTAATTTTTTCTTCGTAAATAGACTGTCAGATTCTGGGAAAGTGCACTTTTTTTCATTCGTCTATTTGCCAACTATGAATTTATACTCCTCATTAAAAACGTTGTCTTTTGTTTCTTATATTGGAAAAACATTAGTTTTTAGTACACTTTGTACATCTTGGTACCAAAAACGAAGTGTAAACGTACATTTTGACTATATTAGCAAAGTGTACATGTACATTTTGTCTTCGATTTCCATTGGAAACCCTCCCAGGTCAAAAAAGCACTATCGTAAACGGTCGTATACGACGAAATACGTCTAGAAACGGTCATCGTACACGACGATCGTATACGATGAACGTATACGGTGCCATACGTTCAAATACAATCAATGTATACGTTGAAATAAACGACTGCCGTGCACGAGTGTAGTATACGACTGTATATGGTCGTAAGTTAGTCGTAAGTTGAGCTACATGTGTCGACTATACCCAGGTCGAAAAATCACATAGTAAGATCAGTTATGAATTCTTGTATGATCCTATTCGATGTTACTCAAAAATCGTATGTGTTCATACAAGATGATACAAAAAATCATATGAAAAATTGTCGTCTCAGAAATCTGATGTCAATTCTTCTAGCAAGTTTCTTAGATGCTCCAACACTAAAATATTGTATGATTATAAAAAAATCGTACAGTAAGGTTTTAACTGATTTCTTTAAAAAAATACTTTCTCGTCATGTTTCACCTTCCCTGGCAGCTATAGTTCAACTTAACTTCACATAGCCCAGATCTTTTTACTTACTGAACCCTATGCATAGGTGTCTACACCGGCAGTTATCATTACATAATAAAATTCATAGCATAATAGTCACAAAAACTCATGCATAAAAACTTTTACTCTCTATACCGTTAACAAAGAGAAATAAAAAATAAAAGCTAAGATTTTCTACATTACCAATATAGAAAAAACAAAAATACTAAAGAATATGATCTTCCGTATTATTAATGTCACGTATTCAGGGTATACGTAAAAGCCAGAAAATGTATTGTATTATCAATTGCGTAATACAATAAAGATCAAGGTCAATAACTTGTTTTATTGACTTGAAGAACAGAAACAACTAACAAGTTAGATGAAACGAAACGAACAAAAGTTATCATCTTTGTAAGAAAAGACAAGCATATATATAGAGAGATCTATATGTTGTGATGACTCATACAAATGGAATGCAGAATACGAAAAAGAAACAAACGAAATATAACAATAGAAATATTGTTATATACGCAATTAGAAGGATCACAACATAAAGGAAAAAGAACACATAAATATATGTATAGAATTATACATATATGTAAATCATGATTCATCAGTAGACAAACACCAACAGATAAGAAATGAAATAAATGTAACAATAATAATAATTATTGTCAATACACTACAATTAATATGGAAGAGTAAGAAAAAAAATGCGACTTTTTGTACTATACTAATATAGAAAAATAAGAAAGAAAAATTAGCATTTTCTATATTATTATTATAGACGAATAAGACACAAAACTAACTGTTTCTATATCATCAATATAGAAAAATAAGAAATACAAATTAAGATTTTCTATACTATTAATATAGAAAAATTGAAAAATAAAAAATATTTTCTATATCAGCAATATGCAAAAATGAGAAATAAAACAAATAGTTATCTTTGTTACCAATGTAGAAAAATAAAAAAAAAATAAGATTCTCATATCACCAATGTAGAATAATAAGATGTAAAAATCAGCATTTTTATATTACTACTAAAGACAAATAAGACACAAAACTAACTGTTTTTATGTCATCAATATAGAAGAATAAGAAGTAAAAATTAAGATTTTCTATATAACCAATATAGAAAAATAAAAAATAGGATTTTCTATATATCCAATATAGAAATATAAGAAATAAAACTTAAGATTTGTCATATCAGCAATATAGAAAAATAAGAGGTAAGAAGTTAACATTTTCTATATTATTGTTATCGACAAATAAGACAAACAATATCTGTTTCTATATCTGTTCATACCAACAGAAAACAGATGTCGCCTGTTTAAAAAAATGTAATTTTTATCAGTATCAGACACATTTATTCCTTTACAAATTTTTTTTTCTGACACTCAATTGAAAGGAATAAAACAAATATACCTCTTATTTAAAACTATGTTCGACGTTTTTTTCTTCGATCAAGTATGGATTTGAACACAGAGATATTACTCTTCAGTAATAATATCTGTAACGGCAGCAGACATAGCCTGTCTAACTTTTGTATGCATGTATGTATATCTGCATTCTTTTTCCATTAAGTACTCAATTCTTAACATCAGATAGGTATCTCGTATTTGATATATATGAGCTTTGTCTTACATAAAGTAATCAGTTTATAGCAGTAAAAGGATGAATACTTCTTACTTTCTACAGTCTGTTTTCATTTCATCTAATATTTAGCTATATAGATACAGAGACACTCAGATAGTACTATACTGTATAGTCGTTATTGTCAATGAGTAATTCGTTCATGAAGTAGAGAGAGATATTCCTTATCCAATAGAAATTAGTTAGATGATATTAAATCTTTAGTTTTGAATGAGTCTGAAATCGTTACTTTTATCAATTTATTTATTTTTTAATGTTGACTCCAGCATTAGTATAGTAAATTATACATTAGATTATATCTAATACTAATATTTCGATTGTATAAATAATTTACTATTTGATGAATTTTCTTTTTTTTCTGGATTAGATGAATATTATTTTTTATTTTTAGACTAGATAAATTTTATTTTGTTATCTTTAGATTAAATAAATTTTATTTTTTATTTTTAGACTAAATAAATTTTTTTTTTATTTTTAGATTAGATAAATCTTATTTTATTATATTTAGATTAAATGAATTCCATTCTCAGATTGGATAAATTTTAACTTTTATTTTTTAGATTAAATAAATTTATTTTTTATTTTTAGATTAGAAAAAGTTTCAATTTTATTTTTTAGATTGAATAAATTTTACTTTTTAGATTGAATAAATTTTATTTTTTAGATTAAATGAATTTTATTTTTTTGTTTTTAGATTAGATCAACTTTAACTTTTATTTTTTAGATTAAATAAATTTATTTTTTATTTTTTAGATTATCAAAAGGACAAATAAAATCATAAAGTATCAATGTAATGGGATGGGGATGTCCAATTTGGCTGGAGGTTCAAGTTCTTGTTTTTCGTGCAGCTTTGATGATATATCATCAAAGCTGCATGAGAAATAAGAATTGGGAGCTCCAGTCAGACTGGATACACCAAAGATTAACTTTTCCATCTTTGCAGAGTTGGGAGGGTGGAGGGGGGAGGGTAGGTAGCAAAATTTTGAATGAAATACGATGACAATCCACATAGTATACGACTGTGTACGATCGTTTACGGTGGTCGTATTTCGTCGTATACGACACGACGATATACGGTCGTAAATCTGGCGTCAAGTAATACGGCGAAATACGGTCGTATACGATCGTAATTTACACCGTATACGACCGTACACGATCGAATACGACGTCGTATACGATCGTTTACGGCTATCGTAATGCTCGTCCTGGGCTGGTGGGAATGATGCGAATGAAGATAGAAATAAAATAGCACGCATAATTATTGTAAAAGATCGTGTGAGAAAATCAAAGAAAACTCGATTGTTTCAGAGAGAAAAAGACGAACAATTCATAAATCAGTAAGTCTAAATAATTTTGATGAATCATTTGTTTTTTTGTCTTTTAGTTAAGCGAACTACAAGCAATTGAATATTCAACTAAAAATAAAATCGTACAATCTCAAAAAATAAATTCATTTGATAATCGCTTAGAATCATCATTTGTAAGTTAACCGAAAATATTTTTATTAATGCTGTTCTATGTTTATTTTAGAGTCTTTTTTCATCATCAATGTCGTTTTCTCAACCAGCAACATCCACACCTCGAACAACAAAATCAAAAACAAACAAAGCTCGACAAGTGATAGAAAAACAAAATAATCATGCTTTCGACGGAAATATGTCATCAATATCGTTTCCTCATTTTCAAGTTTTATTGTTTTATTGTTTTCTTCAGAATATTGAAATTCTTTTTGTTTTTTAGGATATTGATGAATAAACAATACAATCAACAATTTTTTCAAATATTTTTTTCTTTTATTGAGATTATTTGTGTCTTTCTATTTCATATCATTTATGTATTTTTTTTTACTTTCATTATATTTGATAGTCGTACTATATGATTTTTTGTTAATTGTCAATGATTAAATAAAAAATAAAAATCTCACAATTAAACAGAGCTAACATATGGTTTTATTTTGTTAAAAGTTCAGCACATTAAGAAAATATTTTGTGAGTAGATAAAAATGATGAACAGAATTAATATATAATTCAACTTAAACAACTACCGTAGTTTAGCGTCATCTATCGAATGAGACTGATTTTTTTCGAAAAATAAATACATACTTTGAAAGAGGATCGGTTCTTATTAATTTCTATCATAAAATTATTTGGGATAGAAACATTTTTTTTAATAGTGCATTTCAACATTGATTGGTGTTTCTTGCTATGCTTTAGATCACCAGCAAGCGTACTAACTGGGTACTTCTTCAGATCAACGACACCTCCTCGTATTGGTTGAACAATAAACAGGAAAGGAAAATTTTCCTTTCCTGTTTATTGTTCAACCAATACGGGGAGGTGTCGTTGATCTGAAGAAGTACCTCTTACTGAACAATATATGTCACTACTACTACTTACAAAAATTTGAGAATACATTGAACAAATAAGATCATCTAAATATCTATCATAGAACATAATTTTTTGTTTTTTTGAAATTGGATGAATTCTATGATAAATCTTCAGTGAAGAATTCATTCTCAATCTTTTGAAAAATATCGATGATATAAATCATTGTGCTGATGAATGTAGTCTAAATAAAATATAGATTTATAATAGAATAATTAGTTTTTTTTCAATAATACTAAATACAATAAACTATTTGTAAAACAAAAAGATGCAAATTTATTTTCTTATTGATAGTCGATTTTTCAATCATATTTATTATTTATTAAATAATGTTTTTTCAAGTGTTTTTAATCGTATTATTGTTTTATGATCACATTCAATAAAATGACACTTAATTGTGATCTCGACAATTCTAATCTCTCGTTCTCTCTTATGAAAAATAAAATGGGAGAGAAAAAAGAAATAAAACAACGACGACGATCGGACGATTTATTTTTTCTCGTCCATAATTATTATGATCTAATTATTATTTGAACGAGAGAAAAAATGTATTGAAATGTATATAAATATGAATGATTTTCAACTAAAAAATCATTCAATTATTTGAATCATATTCTAACCTTTTCTCTTTTATATTTTAGGTTACTTCTCAACTACTCAAAATTAATCAATTCAATATCAATATCAATACAATACAATCAAAACTAAAAATGTAGATATTAGTTTTCAATTTTTCTTTCTTCTTTTCTTCTTAAAGATCATTTCGAAGGTAGTAAGACTTCGATTGATCTTTTTATATTTTAGGTATTGGTCTCAACAACTCAAGATTAAACCAAGTCAATATGAAAACAATAAAACAAAATGTATGTATCCTTTTTTCACTAATTGCCTTTCTATATGGATTAATCTTCTTTGTTTTTCGTTTCAGCCATCAACATCGTCAAGAA